GGAGCTGATTTGCAATCGCATTAAGGACAAGGTAGCGCCCTTCTGCATCCAGGTCCATTATCAACGTTTGGAAAAGAGCTAAAACAGGACCCATCGCATACAATTGCATGGGACCATTGCAGGTCATCTGTTGTGCGAGGCTAGGTGTGGTCTTTTTCTGTGATTGCTGGATGGTCTGTAAATAGACACAAATGATGAGAAAACTTGATTGAAAAATTATAATTTTAACTAGACAGAAAATGGCCCCAGATAACTCCAACCAATCTATCCATCAATGTGTTCATTTATAATTCAATTAATCCATAGAAGATGAACAAAGATCCCAGGTTGTGAAAACGAGCTTTTGCTGATGAACATCAAAGCCTTCTCCAAATACCAATTAATTCAAGTGATTCAAGAAGGCAGGGTTTTTTCGCTTCACATAGCTCGTAAACCCCCTTCTTTGCAAATCATCATAACCTTTAAGTTGAAAAGGCCACAAACTACAGGTTATAGCATCTACATCACCTGCATTCCAACATACAGGACGAGGGAGTTTATCATGGGCACATTGTATCGGGTCCCAGCTTGTGCTGCCTCATCCTGTGGCAGCAGTAATTTCTCCTTCAGCTCTGATAAGAATGGAGATGCCTGCCGTCGTGTCTGCAGAATAATCAAAATGCTTGATTGTGTTTTAAAATGAGAAGGATAAAAAACACAAAATTTCCAGAGATCTCCTCAAGCAGCATGGAGAAAAGGTCGTGTGGTTTTGTGGGGGGTGTAAAAGAAGGCAAAATAAAAAGGAAAAATATAAAATTTAGAAACTAGGAGATCCACATCACCTTAAGATACTCATCTACATCATTTTTCATCTGCTTAGCTCCTAAAGCGGCATCAACCTCAGAAAATACACATGGTGGTATATGCATCTCTTGCAATAAATCAATCTGCAAAGAGAAGTATACAGCAAGTTTATTGAGTCAATGTAATGAGAAATCTAATTATTAAGAAAAAAAATAGGCAAAGTACCTTTAAGTTTGGTGTAGAAGGGTCAGGCAGCTGCATATTGCGTGGACAGGCACTAAGGATAATAGTTCGCATCTGAATGCAGCTGGAAGGAATTACATCACAGAAGCTGAAGTGATAACTAACCAGAAACTCAGGGAAATCATGCAGCAACACAAACAGCACTTTTAACGTTTCTTCGCATAGATGTTTAATCTGCATGGATCACACAAAACATGAAGCAAGAAGATAGAAACTGAAAAGTGTAAAATCCTCTCATATTGAGCATTCGCAAAGTATAGAAGCGCACCGCCTTTTCAAGTTTGGCATTCCTCAAATAAGGCTCCATGAATTTGAGCAAATCAACCAGCAGAAGCTGCCCATAAACCCAACCTTTTGGTGCATTGACTGTGAGCAATTTCGGCATGAAGCGCTTATGACTTATCAACTCAAGCCATGCAAAGCTGTAATAGCTTCATATTATTAGCTACAGAACAACAGTATGCTTTTGAATGAAAGCATGAGAAAATTGGAATATTTAGTTTGTTGGGAGAATGAAACACATGAAAAAGACTCGATGTTATCAACCAAACAGTTCAGTACAATAATATGCTTTCCATCTTTTAGTGGCATGACAATATTCATTCTAGGTAATATCCAGTCCATCGCTATTCTCTGTACCTTACCATGAATGATGTCTCTTCCTAAAAATACAACAAAACAAGCATCGAAAATGGTATAGCTATTGTCCGCGGTATACTGATGAATTAGTTTTTCCTAATATTTTGGGAACCAATTTAAGTGGCATATTACCATATATAACGCTAAGCTCAAGATTATTAGCCCCTGTTTTGGACACACAGAAAGATGAAGCGAGGACTACAAAGGGAAACCCATTATTTATGATGCATTAAATCCTAATAAATACGAACAATTCAGATAAAAATATCCTCATCACTGCTAAAAGGCAATTCAGAGGTGAAACTGGCTATTCTCATTTTAATCTCTAATAATTTTTTTTTTTTCACTTTTTTGCACCACAAATGTGATGGAACACAATGCTAAAACAAGTACAATTAAAATGCTTAGCATGCTAACCTGAAAGCAGGAACTTTAAGAGGCTGAAATGCATGGAAAGCCTCTGCAAAAGCAATCAAAACCTGGAAAATATCCTATCCATGTCAGTCCGCAAAAAGATACAAGCATAGATCAATAAGACAAATACAGAAAAAACATACCTGAATGTTGGCAGCATCTAAGACTGCATATGGTGAAACAAGGTCAAAAAGCCAGTTAACAAACAGCCTGAAATATGGCCTTGGGTTAAAAGATGCCTTCTTCTCCTCAGCATTCCTCTTAATCACCTTAACAGTCAATTGAAATATCTGCCCAATTGTCACAAATGAAATTGTTTAATTGATGTCCCCAGAAAATAGAACAAAAAACACAGAAAAATTCAAGGAAAACCTTTGACAAAAGATGCTCCATTGCATGATACTGCAGTAGGAAAGCAAACCATTAAGAGAGGTTGGTGGATGGATGACACAAGCTAACCAGATACACTACTTAAAAGAATTTTTCTAAAAACATGATGATACCTTCAGAATCACAACGACAAGCTTTGCATACGCATCAACTGCAAGAAATGAGAGATCCTGTGCAGTTTGAGGAGACTGCAATGACAAACTAGAACCAATTCTCTCAGAAGAGAGACAATGGGCAATAGAGTGCTCCTGAAAAAATATATATATAAAAAAACAAATTAACACATAACCTCCATTAACAATTTCTAAAATTCAGTGCCTTTTTGGTGGGTAAAAGGCTTCCAAAAGTAAAGAGATACCATGAGAAATTGAAAAAAACGATCTGACACATCACCACCATTCAGAAATCCATTTTGCTGCAATTTTGAGACAAAATATGCACAAGCTGCATCATTTGCACCAGGAAGTATGTATGTTTGGTACCATTCAGTGAACAGCACAGAAACCTGTAGCTTGAAACAAAAGAAAAAGCACAAAAATTTAACCTTCTGTTTTTTCTGGGTGGCCAACAAAAACATGGACAGAGGGATGCCCATTTCTGGCACCACTCTCAGAATGGCATTGATTCCCTAGACCTGTCCCAAACAGGGAATGTGGTGAATGGAGTCTGATGGATGTTGAGATCAGATATTGCAGAAAAGGAAAAACACAGAATGTAGCACTAATAAAACCAATCTAGAATATTAAGATAGAAGAGCAATCGATGTTAAATATATTAGGTGAGATTTCAAGGTCACTTTAATCTCGGTTTGCATTTCAGGAATTATCATCCCAAATATATTTAGATGATTTAACAAATAAAAAATTAGGATTGTTCATGGTCTTTAAGATTATTTTGGCAATTGCAACCGATTTCTATTGACTGTAAGCATTTGTACTTTATCATGGTCCTACTTGTAAGGTTGCAAGCACTTCAGCAAATTGAAGGGGGGAAGAGGTGGGGGTGGGGGTGGGGGGGGGGGGGGGGGGGGGGGGGGAGTAAAGTTCATAGAGTGGTTTTTTTTTTCAGTATTTATGATTGATTATGCATGAGGTGGACAAAACTAAGAGGGTGTTATTTTCAGGACTTAAGCAACTTGAATGAGACGGAGAACTGAAAGTGGGATTATGTAATTGAATATGCCAAATACACAATAAATACTTGATAGGAGCAAAGAGAAGACAATTGAAGGAGCAAATCAAAATAGACGCATATCCAACCAAACCATAATACAAACAGTAAAAAGATTAGTCCACAACAACATAAAAGTAAATAAAGGGAAGAGAATATCAGGTAAATCTCTCAAAGAAAAGTACATTCTAGATTACGCTATCCTAACATACGAAACCACTAGCTGAGTTGGTCATCACTGAGTAGGTGAACAAACTTAGCTAAAAATTTACAAAAAGAAAAAAAAAACTAGAATTAATTAAAGGAGCATATTAATTATCAACACATCAGTTGACCTGATACTCTTACTACTCAACTCTTGCTTCTACATTTTCTATATTACAAAAAGGAAAATGCAACTTATTAATAACTCCTAATTCTCTCTTCATTTTCTCATATGGTTCACGAATTTTTTACCAAATGAAACAGATAAGAAGTTAACATGACAGAATAGAATACAATCGAATCTTCTGCTCTTTAATTTGGCATGAAAGTATACCTTCAGATACTTCTGAATTTCTTTTATATGACCCAAACAGAAAAATACACAAGCAGGAAAACTCTAGATTATCAAAGAAATTTATCCGTGGTTCGCATATAAATTTATACCAAATTCATGTACCTGGTCATAAAAACCAGCAAGATCCGCTGATACAGATTCAGTATTGACATTGCCATCCCTACTTGTCATGGAATGATCAGAGTGCTGTTTTAAGTAAATTCGTTAATTAAAGAGTGGAAATATCCCAGAAAAAGCTCATGCCTCTATCAGTAATAAACTACCGATATATCCAGCTACCTTTTTGCCTGTAGCATGCTTGGTCCAGTCCCCCTTGCCAACAATATTACCAGAAGGACTTGCAGCACTTTCTAGAGGATTCTTTGCCATCTCAAGCAATTTTTGTAATGATTCAGGAGATCCAGGTCTTGCTGCAACCTGCAGTTTGGTACGAATGCTTAATTGTATAATAAAATACAGAAAAAAAAGAACTGTCGAAAAAATGAACAAATTCAAACCTTTGCCAAGGAGTTAATAAGATTGGGAAGTTCTGACAAAGTTAGACTTGATTCCTGAATCAACAAGGTTTCGAGGAGAGAAATTGCAAACTCTGTTGCAGTTTCTGCAGTTCATTTGTTATTAGCAGCTTAATCAAATCAAAAGAAAACACAACTTTGTTCAGAGAGCAGTATCTATAACACATACTATTCTTTCCAGCATCAATAAGCTTTGCCATATGCTTGTTGTATTCAGCAAGATTAAGCAAACCCTTGCGCATAAGGCCAACAATTACATTCGTATTGAACTTCCTATGCTCATCCGAATAAATCACCTTAAAAAAAATGATTTCAGGAAGTTAGAAACTGGAAAGGTGCATTAAAATTCAAAAGACATATTTAAGTTTTATCAGATAGCAATAAAAGCTTAGTAAACTATCATAATCTTCTCAAAGGACAAGGCCAACCATACTAAAATTACAATCTTTTTTTTTTTTGAAGGGCACTAAAAGTACAATCTGATTCGGTAGTAAGATATGTATATGCTTATCCCTTTCCCCACCACAATCCTGTAGGGATATGGATGGTCTGCTACATATTACATTCCTGAAAGTACTTAAAATACAATGATCTAAAACATTTTCAAGGTATTAAAACATTGAATGTGTCTTAGCACAAAATTGGAGACACAGCATTTCATGTATGAAATAGTCAGCTAGTTAGAACATAATCAATACAATTTTGCTGTTTTTACCTTTCTGGCTAAGCAGACTTTCTTTAAATCTTTACTTTTATGAGAAAAAGAAAGAAAAGGGCACAAAAGAAGTGAGAAAAGAACTGCAAAAAGAAAAGAACGGGAGAGGCATAGATTGAGAACTCCAACAGAAAATCAATATGTTCAGACATGGAAGAAGTAGTTCTCCATCCAAAAAAAACCACAATTTGCTTATTGAAGTCTCAGCAGAGAGTTTTCACTGCAATGTTTTGTCATAGGATTTAATCCAATCATTCATCCTTCCATCAGAACAACATGTCCCACACAGCATTCCTGAACACTAATGAAATCCAGTTCCCAGTCACAAAAAGCTCACCATAACCAAATCTCCAAAAAAGTTCCCTGTTTCACCCACCATATTTAACTACTTGACTATCTACTACTATCATGAAAAGATTAGACCACAATATTGTCCCAAAAGAGAACCCTCATTTTTTACCCTGAATACTCAATTTTGTTGCCACATCATTCCAGCTAATTCTTTATATGGCATCTATAAACTAGCACAATACTGTTTCTGGTATTACAGATCATCCATCAACCTGGCCCATTTAAATATTACTGCCATTACCTTCCTTATGGAGCAGTCTTTTCAAGTGCACATGTACATAACTGCTTACATAAAAGCCCCAGTCAAGAGACCTGCCCTTTTATGCCTTTAACTCAAACATGAAAAAGTAATCTATTTACAATATCAAAGCAATCAAAAAGCAAAAAAACAACAAAAATACATCAATACCAGGCATGATAAACAAAAATTTCAACACATGACCTGGGAAAATAATCTACAGCAACATACCCAACTAGTAACCTCCTTGACAACAAGCTTGCAAACATCACGAATAGCAGCCAGAATTGAAATATGTAAACCGACATGCGAACTGTTTGAAGCTTTCTCATATAAACTTTTGAAAACCTGTCACAAGAATATATCATGGAATGAACAGGAGAAGAGAAATAAAAGAATTCCAAGAAATAAACATGGCACACCTTCTGCGCAATTGCAAGGGCTGCCTCATCTCGACTAACACATTTAAGTATGATCTTTGGAATCTGGAAAACAACTCTCTGAACATGCATATTCATCCAGATTAACATGAAGTTAGAAAACAATCCTGTAAAGGTTATTCTTTTGAAAAACATGTTCAAATAAAAGTGGGAAGGTTAGAAAAACTAACATCAATCTCTTCCTCTACAGATTCTTTAGTCAACAAAATCTCCAACTGAAATACATAAGCTTCACATAATTATTTAAATTCTTAGAAAATCAAGAACCAAACAAGAAGTAATAAAGGAACCATCAAATGAAGCCCAGAAAAAATAGTGTGAAGGAAGAAAAATAATGCATATTAAGAATAGAAGCGCGTCATTATGATGAACAAAACTCCAAAATATAGATGGAAGATAATTACTCAGAATTTGCAGACGCTTAGTTTGATGCAAAACATTCCTGTGCATATAATTAATTAAAGAGCAACATTGGAGCGGAGATATAATTTGTAAAGACATTAATTACCTTCAGGGAAATTATTTGATATTTTTCCAGTACATCTGACATAGATAATGAGGGCTCCAAGATTCCACTTCCCAGTTGATCAATGGGAGTTGTAGGCAATGATTCTGCAGTAGCTCTCAATTCCTTTAACAAATCAAGCATAGTAATCACTGTTATCATCATTATTTGTAAAAAAGGCTAGTAAATATCAATATATAACAAATAGTTCTAACTTTTCTGGCATTGGACACCTCCTCAGAATGCACTTCAGGGGCAGCAGCAGTTGGGGACAAAGAACTGAGGGAACTTTGGTTCGCAACAGGCTGGTTAGCGTCAATCTCCTCAGAAATGAGATCCAAGGGATAATTAACTGCATCCATCCCAGATAAGTACAAGCCACGGTTAAGCTGTCCTGGAGCAGCAGATGAAGCAGGCACCACATTTGAGTTCTGACCAGCTTGATTTTTCCGGAAGAAATGAACAAACTCCTATAGGAGAGAAAGAATAAGATAATACAAATCTGACATGATTGAACATAATCCCAATCACTCGTCATCCACGAATCCAGAAATCACTACCTCATATACTTGCTGTTGTGAGTGCGATACGTGCCCTGGTCTGAGGAGAGGGGACTCTGATATAACAGTCATAGGACCTTGTGCATTAATGTTTGCATCATAATATGAAGGATCAATACGCTCTGTAGGCTTCCTTCTTACAGAAAGTTGCTGAGTAATTTCACGGTCAATGGTTTGTAATGCCTGATATGGCACCACATACACAATAAGAAATCACCAATGCTAGATACTACTTGATTTTCTTCTAGAATGATCATCCAAATGAAATATCGACTTTCCAAAACCTGTTGCTTAGCAATGTATTCAGCAAAGAACAATTATACTGATGTTTGGGTGGAAGTGAAAATAAAGGAGGTACAAGAATTAAATTGAAAGAAAAGTGCCAAACCCAAGAACAACCCAGAGGTGCAAGAAGCATACAGGAGAAACTTAAAACCATAAAATGGAGAAACAATGCAATAATAACAATATTGAAGAAGGGTATGTAAAACTAAATACTCAAGAATCTGCAGGAATAACATTATCAAAACTTCAAGAATCCCCTTCCAATTTCAGCCAAGGGCTTGTCATCACCCACTATAAGAGGCAAAACAAAGACCCAAATAGAAAACCTTCATTTTCTGATAACCTATCTAATAAAACATTTTCAGAGTTTCCCCCATATCTTTGCTCATTGATTAACCAGTCAAGCATACATATTCCACATCTTTCATACTCCACAATCTTTGATTCTCATGTTTTCTGTCCATAATAATAATAAAAAACAAACATATTTATAACAAACTATGTAACATGGATCCTCGCTGAAATTGCTGAAGCAATACATTGATAATCAATGCAAACAGAATTGTTTGTGACTGCATCTGTGTTGAAGAGATAGGTAGGGCAGCATTTAATAATAGATATAACTTAAGAATGATAGGTCAAATAACAATTAGTACATAGAGCACAACTTAATTATATATGCATAATTGAAAATTTTGGGAGCAAACATACCTTCTGAACTGCAGCATGTTCAATTACTGCACACCCCAAATCCAGGTTATCATTGATAACAAGAGCAACAGCTTGTTCAAGATGTTCATTGGGAACATTCAAACCCTGAAATGAATCCCTTAGTTGACGTGATATTGAAGTACGAAGAGTTTCCTAGCAGTAGGAACCAAGGTTTGACCATTAAGGCTTGAGCATTAAAAGAAAAAAAAAAAGTAAATTTGCTCATTAACAGCGAGATAGTCAAGCATAAAGTGCATGCCAATGAAGCCAAGAAATTTGAAGATCAAATATAAAACCTTGCATGTCACATGAGCTAGACTTCCAGCCAGACTAGCTACCATTGAATGTGCAGCCTCATATATGCAGGTTTCATCTGATTCCATAGCATAGTCCTAAGGTTGATTACACATAAAAGATGCAAAAAGTTACTATGAAATAGAAGCCAGAGAAGAAGTCCGTGCATATAAAGAAAAAAGAACAGTCCTAACCTTTAGAACAACTTCCTTTGTTGTCTGGATTGCTATGGGAACAGTGCGTTCTACCACCAGAGACAGGAGTTCTTTGATAGCCCTCTCCATAGCAATGGGGACAACTCTAAAATACATATGCAGAGTTAAGCACACTGGACACTTTGATTAAATTATGAACATGAAAATGTTGAAAAGATTAACCTCAGCAAATGATGCAAGCCCAAAGTGCTGAGTTCTTCACTGAAGATAATTTGACTTCCAATATCAGCGATTCGTGAAGCCAGCTGCATAAACCATGGACAGTATATTATTAGTAAAGCTAAATGAACCTAAATTCTTCCAATATATTACATTTGAATGCAGCAATACAAATCTGGAGACTGGGATGAAACAACTTGGGAAAGGCCTCGGCTAGAAGGAAGCTGATCATGATACTAATGCAAAAAACAAGTGCAGCATCAAACACTAAAGCCACAATTTTTCATCTTCTGCTATTGGACCTAATGCAAAATGAAGCCAAGCAGGATACCAATGCTAGAAGACAAGTTCAATATCAAACGATAGAGACAAACATTACTGATCATGAGTAATCAGCTAATAATAAAGCATTAAACCTAACAAAAGGGACAATACCTCTAATTGGTCATCAGAACGAGATGTATTGACTATCTCATGCTGTAGATAAACTTTATTCAGTGTAGACTTGATTTCAGAGTTAATTTCAGTAACCACTGGAGGCTGAGGTGCCCCAACATCTTTGTTGGAAAAATCAGGATTTCCTTCTACTTTACGAAGACGATTTTTTAGAAGAGATGTTGGGTTAGCTTTCTTCATATCTACACCCAGGCTCTTAAATAGAACCTACACATGGAAGGGATATAGTAAGAAAAAGTGAGAAAATCATATTCACAGGTTCAGAATAGGTAAATATTTCAAAGAACATCAATAGTAGACCTCAATATCAAATTTGAGATTCATTTTTAGACTTGGCAATGCATAGATCTCTGCAAGTAAACCAAGGATTGCCATAGTCCAAGGATTTGGAGGCTTGTAAGCACGACTACTTCGGCATGGTTCCAAAATCTGCAGCACAACTGAGCTGGTAAAATATCAAAGTAGCAAATTAAGATGGTGGAAATCACATTATGTAACTGAAAAATTAATACCTTTGAGGTAAATGGAATCACAGCTATCATCAAGCCCCTCTCATATGCCTGGACAAAGCAAAGCAAGATAATGATGAAGTTGAATGATAAAAGAAACTTAATATTGGACAGAAAAGTTAATCAAAGAGGATGACAACATAAGAATTCATTTGAATGGTTACCTCTATTATTAAAGCTTTGGGATCTATTTCTCGGGCCCTTAGTACTTGATTTCTGCCAATAGTGAACTTCCCAAGCCAACTACCTAAATTTTTCAGCAAGGAGCGCTCTTCTGAGCTTGACCTTATATGCTCAGATCGCAAAATAACCTGAGATATATTTCTTTGTATTACAACCAGTACTACTCAAGATCACAACTAAATCCAGAAAATTAAAGATTTCTAGCACATAACCTTGCAATTATCATATGCAGCCTTTACAATCTCTTCATTCAATATTTTTGAATTGACTTTCTTCAGAAACTCCAAGTACAAGTCATGAAAATTCGGCTCGATGCTTGCTCTGATGAGAGTTATATGACAAGATATAGGATGATAGGAAGTAAACAAATAGTTAATTATTTAGCGAAAACTCATACAGCAGTTGATACATCTACACAAAATATATATAAATTATAATGTGCCAGAAGCTCTCAGGCAGAACTCAATCTTACCTTCTCATCACCATGTACTGGGCAAACCATGGATAACATTGCTGACTAAGAATCTCAGTAAATTCCTTCACTTTAGCATCAACATTTGATGAGGAAATATTATTAATCATAAAAAATATCTCATCCTGAACATTGGATGCAGGAGTCTGTCAAAAACAAAATAAATACAATATTAAAAATTTCAAAATCCATGGAACCTGTAGAGTAATATGTAACAGAAAAATAAATAAAATAGCATGTTCTTTTTGCACATAAAAATGACTCCAGTAAAGGGAGAGGATAGATGAAAAGATCCCCTAATGCAAAATTTCTAACATAAAAAGTAAATTTAAAAAAAAAAAGTCATAGTTTGCAATTTGACTGGAAAAAGAACCCTTTTATTGAAATAAATATAAACAAAATTTTCTCTTGTCCCTCAAAAAGGAAAAAAGATCATGTAAATATATATATCGAGATGTGTAATAGCGTTCAATGCGAAAGTAGGCATACATGAAAATGTACATGCATAAAGACAAAGATACCTTGAGAGGAGTATTCCTCTTCTCATCTGCTGCAATAAGTGTTTCAATATTTAGAGCAGAACCAAACCCTGTACCATATGAATGTTGTTGTTTAAAGAAAGCTAACAGATATCTAATGGTTTAAAAAAAAAAAGTACAATGAGGATGATTTTTCACCCATGAAATTAAAGCAATCAGATGTTAAATAAGGTAGATATACTTACTAGTTGAAGTAACTCTCCTAGAAGAATGAAGAAAATCAGAAGCAGTGGGTGTAACTGCCATTGCCTTTTGTGATGACACAGTCTGCATGGACCAAAAGTAATCAACCACAGAAAAGAACAGTTTGAAGGAAATTTGAAGATTGATGAAGGAGATGGATTTTATATTACTATAAAAACTAGCAGATTGACATTGGAAAGAAAATACATTCTGACAGCTAGCTACATCATTCATGAAGCCACTTGAAGGGTGGACAGATTGAGGTAAATCTGGTTTCATGCAAATGCTTGAAGTCATAGATGTCTTGATTCTATCACCAAGAACTTCTTCATATCTCTGTTGCATCTGCAGTGAAGGTGAGTAAACTGTTCCAACAAGACAAGTATTAAGATGTCCCAAAGAACTTAAGCTCTCCAACCTAGTTTTCTATTACTTTACCAATGGAATTGGTCAAAAATGACATGTTTTCATTGAAAGGCTACAGATACACATCACTGTTAAGCAATTTCAAGAAAAAATTGAAATATTATGAGGCACAAGGAGAGGTATAACATGATAAAAGGATATTAGGATAGGTAGATATTAGTGTTGCTTATTTATCTAAATTCATATGTGTTAACATCAACTATCTTCGGGGTTTTTTATGACCTTACATTCACAAGTTAGGCCTCTCTAGCCTCTACCTATAGCCAATTGGCATTTCTCCACCTAATTCCAATTGGTTTTAGGTTGGATACTTAACAATATACAATCAAGAGATTAATATAATCACTATTACCAAAATGCATAAGGATACCCTGATCCAGAAGATAACTAGAAAGAAAGCCCAGCCTCTTTCAAAAGTTAAATATCAGGAAACAGTGGTACTATTTAACTTTTTGGAAAGGTATACTAAAAAAGGGATAATTTAAGGAGGGAGGTTCCATTTACAACTTCAAGTTTGCACTAGTAACCAACTCTCTTGATAACATGGAGAAAGGAGGCAGGGATGATGGTAATTGTTAACCTCACTAATAAATTAACCCAACAACCCAAAATTTTGGGTTACAGAAAGAACAAAATAAAGAGTTAAGTACAAACTGGCTCCCCGAAAGATGCAAAATATATTCTAACACCCTCATGCCATTCAACATAGAATCAGTAATTTACATTATTCCTATATTTGATTGGATCTGGTAAAAGGGCTAGTTTTAGGAGCATTGAAGTAAATCAGCCCCCAAAAAGGGGAAAATAAAACACACAAGCAAAGACAATAATTTCTGTGTTAATTTGGCAATCACACATTGTTTAATGTAAACAGTCTAGAAGGGCAGCTGGTGTTTGACAAAACTGAAAGACAAGGAATTACTAAAGAAAAAAATTTAACCGAATTCACCTCTGAACTTTCTGAAGTAGCTTCAGTAAAACCATCATGGTGAACGTAGGCGTTCTCTTCATCTTTTCCCAAGGAACTTGATGAAATCCTAGCAAGAGCACATTCAACAAAATCAACAAGCTCTGGATGAGTTCCATGCAAATGAGATATTTGCAAAATATGACTGCAATACTGTGGGAACTCAACCAAACGATCTAGAAACTGCTCTAAAGCTTTGGTTCCAAACAAAAATATCTACAAGAAAAAACCAATTATAATGTCAAACAAAAAAAAAAGAATCATTGGAGATGAAACACAATAGCAAAGTGTACTACTAACCTTTGAGTCTGTGGGCATACACAATGCATCTAGCACACTATTCAGAGCAACAACAAGTCTGAGTTTAGTTACAAGCCGATGTTTTATTAGAGAACCTGCAACAGAGGATATAAGCATTCAATATATGGAAAAGAAATTACAAGCATTCGTGAACAAACTAAACAATGCCACCCATAAGATGATGTTTGAGAATCTGCATAAAAAGACAAAGGGATAAAGGAGCAGGGGCACAAATTTGTCAGAATTAAAGCACGCTGCAGTGTGCCTATCAGCTGGAGAATCCCATAGAATAATCCATGTGAATAACAATTTCATAAATTCTAACTGACATGTTCTAAAACTGTGTCTTCACATGCAAATGTGTTGTTTCCCAGTGCCTGCAATAATGAAGCTGAAGCAAATGCATGAGGCATATTTCACCTATTCCACTACGTTGTTCAGAACAGCAATGCCTCTTACAACTCCTATTACAGTTTCTGGAAGTGCCTAAGTTTTTTCCAAGAGGTGCACTATGTCTAATAGCAAAAAGAACTGACTTTACTGACAACCAACTACATCCCTGCCAATCTAAATTTTCTAAAAAGGAAAAAAAGACCTCATTATATGCTCAACACATGACAAAAAGATACCTTCAGATAAAATAGGGCATTTACAATTTGTTTTAATATCAGAAATTGCTAGCAAAGCTACACTTAACCAACTAGATATCAGGCCAGTTTTACAACAGCTCAGGCTACACGCAAGACTACACTATGAAGTTCAATTATTATCAAATAATCAAATTGCGCTTGATAAGCACACAGCCTTGCGCATGGAAACCAAAAGGCAATGGCATTAGATACCCTTTTAAGGAAATTGGCACAAATATCCTAAGCCAACAAAGATAAGCCAGTTTGGCAGACATAATAGGTTGGCTTAAAACCACAATGACTGTAAAATATAAATGAGAACAAAAGTAGGCTTACCAAAAAGGACAGCAACAATAGTAAGCTGCTTTTCTGGATACCTAGGGAAGAACCTGTACTCATCCAATAAATTTTGTATCACATGCTTAAAAATCAATTGTTCCCTGTCAATTGAAGCAAGAGCTATTTAGAATATTTTTCCAAATTAAAAAGTTAAGTTAAAGTAATGCAAAATGCACCATGAATAACAAAGTCATTATCTTTCCTATTCAGGTGTATGAAGTGTTCAATAATATAACTTACTATGTGAAAGTTCCTCCCATTCAGGTGTATGAACTGTGCAATAATATAACTTACCATATGAAATTTCCTCTACTATCATGCATATTTAGGCACACCTAGTACTTATATGGAAAACAACTCAGACTAGCATAATACCAAAAAGCACAACTTTCAGTCAGTTCTTGAAACATGTTTCAATCAGCAAGGCAAAAGCATAAGTTTTAAAAGTATATATTTTCATTAGTTCAAATTAGCTGGGGTAACCAGTATCAAGCAGATCGAAAGAAGTATTAGTCAACCTCGAATTAGACTGAAAAGTCCAATAACCTGGAATTAATCCATCAACAAGCAGATTTAAACACAAACAAATGACAAAGCAAATTGGCAAAACCATTTCAAAAGAATTCAGCTATTATGAGACATAACAGATTCTAAACATTGAAAAGAGAGCTGAACATTAACATTATGCAAAATAAAGCTAAAACACCTATCCACTTATAAGGAAAAGGAAAAAGATAATAAACAACTTGCAAACACATCATGATACGTTATAAACCACCACTAAAGCCAGTGTACGCTATCAGCACTGACAACAAGTATACTAGAAGCTAATATATACTCAATATGACATAACATTATTAAGTTTCTAGTGCTTAAATTAATAATGAACCTTTTCTGTGAAGATTTCTTGAATTGTGAAAGCATTTGAATCATAACAGTCATAGGCATCTGACCAGAAAACATCTGATACAAATAAGAACCTGCTTCAGCCTCTATATCATTAGCATATCCACAAGAAATTGATGAATCAGAAGTTCCAACATTCTGAGGTTGAGGCTTGAAAAGCATAGAAGCTCTATTCAATCTTTTCAATTCTTCAGCAAGATGGTCAGAAGTGATCTGTTCAATATTAGCTCGAAAAACCTGTGACACATAGAACATTACAGGGTGAATTAACCAAAGATAACAGAGGAATATAATTTTGAGGCTGTTGAACCTTTAGAAATGTTGAACTTGTCTTGGAATATATATTCTCAACAGTGCTAGGATGATGAAACAAATCAGGGGTCATATCTTCTGCTGCATCTAAAGAAATCTCGTTCCAAAACTTTAGGCATTCCTGAAATTAGCAGTACAAAAATAGGAGTGTTATGTTCTTCGCATTTCAATTGAATCAGCAGAAATGGATTTCACTTTTGTCATCACCACGAAGAAAACCAACCTTAACAAAAATGTCTTTATTAGCATTCAGATTATCATTCAACCACTTCTCCAGACACAAGTATTCTTTTTGGGAAGCAAATGCAGCCAGTCGAATACTGAAAGAAAATGGAATTTGCTCCAAGAAAGTTGCTAAAATCTGCATCGCATAACAGCAAATTCACCAGAAATAGATAAACCATATTATAGCAAAGTAGAACAAGAGCCAATACCAAAAGGAAGAAATACAACCATACTTCTGATCATGATGAAAATAAGATTTCACATCCTGAAATCATACAGATAAGTCATGGATTCTTTCAAAGCTGTTAAACTTCTCTTGTGTTAGCAACTTAGCTAAAAACAATTAATATGCTTAAAATGAAAAGGAGAAACTAAATGAAAAGCTATATAAAGCTAATCCTCTGTTTGAGATGATGAGTCCTTGCATCTTTTTGGGGTATATGGGAAGTAAAAATTGCTGCAACAACTAAAATTCATCTGAAAGCTTAAATAAAACCACTTTTTAATCTCTTCTTTTGGACTTTCTTTTTCTTATCCTTGGCTGAACCTTTCACAAAGAACTCATAGTTCTTATTTTCTTCTCTGAGACTTCAATGCCCTTCATATCCCCATGGATTAGAGGAGGTGTCCCTTGTCTTTCCTTTAATGAGTTACTGCAGACCACAATGAAGAAAGGCTCCTTTCAAGAGATAGGAAAAATCCTTTGATGCATACCACTTTGTGCCATGCATTGACTTATTGTATGGTTACCCCATGGATTTTAATAAAACAGCAATCAAAACTATTCACAAAAGAGAATGATATTAAGAGAAAACAAAGGTAAAGAATTAGATAGACTAGAAAGAGGAAACAATGAAGAAGATAGTAAAAATTCCATAAAAGAGAAGAAACATAAACATAATCCTAACCATAGATGAAAAAAAAATACAGCAATAGTTGCATTACTAACAGCAATTGATCCTTCTTCAGATCGAGTTTTTATTACCTTCTGTTCATGGCAAATGGCCAACATTCCAATTATGCTGCTTTCATCAGCTTTAATCATGTCCATGAAACCACATGCCACAAACTTGGAATTAGAATGCCAAAGATGAAGAATCAAGCTACCCATAGATTTTTCAACAACTATGGGGAAAATGGTGGAAGAAACATCATGCTGGAGGAGGTTGTAAGCAGTCTGCAAGAATAACATAAATTATATCATCAACACTAAGGTCAAAAATTGCTACATTGCAAAATATCTGTAACTTTAGTTAGATAAGTACAAGCACCATACATTAATTTGAGCAATTCCAAGGAGTAAAACTTCAGGGCAGTGTTTGAGAGGGTACTCAATAATTGCTTGAACGGAATTGGCACGGCCCCTCTCAGCTAATTGACACAACACATCAAGCAAGTCGAGGGATAACCATGCATGGTTTCCTTGTATGGCTTGAAGCTTATGGTGATCACATGCTTCAACATATGCCTTCAGGTAAGAGAATATACATTTAAGCCAAACAGAAAACCAAAAAAACAAAAGAAGTAAGAGGGGCAACGGAAAGAAAAAAGATCAGACATTTATGAGCAATGTGCCATACTAGCTTCCTGACAGAATGTTCAAAGGTAAAAATCTCAAGTGGGGCTGATACAGCATATCTTAGAAAAGATAATTGACCATCAACATTCTTCCAGACAGAGCCACATATAGCATGAAGAGGGAAAGGATCCTGCATGTTTATTTGCAATAATTCAATAGAACTTCATAGAACATTACATAAACTTAAACTGAACAACTATGCTAAACTATGGTACCTGACATGCGTATGCATAAATTGACATGAAAATTGAAAATGCTTGGCTGTTAGGAATGTAAAATCCCTCATGATCGAGATGTTCCATGACAGTATTCCAGTTGGTTCCAGGAGCCTGCAACTCAAAATAATACTCTCCAAATCAATAGTTTCACTTTTAATCAATAGTGGAACTAGGTAAAGAAGATAAATCAAGATTGAACGGGACTTACAAGTTGCTTAATTGAATCCACCAAAACGTCCACATTCCAAGAGCCTGGGCATGATATATCAAATGCAGCACTGCTACCAATTGCAGAGCAGAAAATTGAATGTGAAAGTTGACTGTCCTCAAGGCCAGTATATGTACGGGCAACAGTGCTAAGTATTCTAGAGAGAGTAACTTCATTCAAAGGTAAGAAATTTGACAAAACCTCTTTGCAATGTGTAGAATCAGTTGTACATCTGTATCCAACTTCTCTCATTATATCAGCCATGCTAGTCTCACTCTCCATCTCCACCAGAAGGAAATCAAAATCATTTTCATTGCAACTTTGAAACATATCCAAATTCCTTCAAAGCAAAAACAAAAAATGAAAGTGGGACAAGGAAATTGACTCCATAATTTTAGCATAGCAGTCACATGATCAGTTACTGAATAAAAACTAAACCAAGACTCAAGGAGTTATGAATACCTCGGAAGCCTAGCCTCCGTTACATCATCTTTGAGCCACGGAACTAACGTAAGAGGGGTCCTCTCTTTTGGATACTTCAGAGCCACCATTTGCATAAAGGAGTCCACATACTTGATTAGGCCCTCTGACTGATACAAGAACAGAATTACATTCTGAATCTCCTCAACAGAATCAACAGAGGCAGGATTTCTGCATGACTCCTCTATCAATCCAATGCTAAAGTCCTGACCTGAAAAATAAATAAATTGAATCACGTACTAAAAGCAGCATTCTTGGAAGAATATTTGGAGCGGATACTTAGAGAAGGGATGAACTTACCAGTAGTTCTGACCTCAGCATTCTCTGAGTCTGCCAAAGCAAGACCAAGGGCAACTTTCTCAAAGACTGACAATTGTAATTCATTGCAAAAATCCCTAAGGAATTTTTTGCTGATAATCAAGTTTCTGAATGCTTCACAAAACACAGTACTAAAATTCGGGTGGTCTAATAGACAACTGAATACTGCAGAAAATATGTCCAACATATATTGCTTTTTTTGCATATCTTCCCCTAGAAGATTCATGTGATCCAAGCATGTCTGTACCAGCAAGATGCTTCCCTCGATCCCATATTCAACAGTCTTTCCAGAAGGTAAAGGCCACATAAGTAACCAATAAAGAAATGCAATAAACAAGTAACAAAGTTCCTTATTTCAAAAAGATAAACAACCAAAAAAAATTACATCATTCTACCAATTAAACATAGGGCTCACATAAATTGACAAATCAACTGTATGAATATAAGAAATAAATCCCCGTTATTAATAACTTAAAGAAGCAGAGTGTAGACACATCAAATCCCCCTCTCTTAAGCAAAACAGAAAATTAAGTAAATGTTTTCCCTCTCTTTTGAGGTGCAAAGCTTGCATCGCACATGCAAATATTTTTCCTCTTTTCATTTGTTTTTGTAGGATGCTTGAATATTTCCCAGAAACTACATAAACCAATTAGCTTTTTTTTGAAATGAAAATGACCTCTAATAGATTTCATTTGAAAACTTATAAAGATCTACATATATAACGCCGCAACATAAGTATCTTAAATTTCATGGCCAATCCTTTTCTATCCTTTCTTGCCCAATCAAGGATACGATTAATTATTCCAAAGATCCGCTTAAAATGTGATCAAATGTCCTTACAGTTTCTAACTTTCTATGCTATCGAAATCTCCTTCAACCAGCCAACAATTAGTTAACCTTTTGGCAATATATAAGAGATTTCAAATACAGAAAAAAGAAAAAGATAAAAGCTATTCAGATTCAGATCATTGGCTTAAAAGACTCGCACACTAACCAGCAACATTGTTGCATTTGAGACAAAACCATCCGGATATTTAAATTTGTTGCATTGCTCTTGCCTTCTTTCATTTTCTCCACAACCAAACAGAGCCATTAACAACAATATGCACATGCACGTAAACAAACTAAAACCTCGGAAGTCATGATTAAACCAAGATTTTACAACATGGATACGTTATATTGTATCAAACCCTAAACAAAAGCTGAAAAGGGGGGGAAAAAAGAAAAACAAAAGAACATGAAATTACAGGGGAAAAGAACGTAATCTTGACGAAACCAGGTTTTCCCTGGAATATAATATGTATAGTACATTGAAACATGACTCTATTACTCACTTCTTTTCCATTTTCTAATCAACCAACCAAAGCCGGTAAGAACGTATGTATACGTTAAAAAACAAACGGAAACCAAGCATAGAGATCAAACTAACGTGATCATTTTCGTATCAAGCCATAACGAATAGCTCTCGAAGAAACGCGAACAAAAGAAAAGATATAGAGAGAGATGTGAGGCATACCTGACGGAGCTCACGAAGAACCTGACTGAAATTGGAGTCGTCTACACTCTGTAGCAAGAACCGAATATGGCTAGAAAGCAGCGACGAGAATGGTAGCATTTCTTCAAGGACCGTTTCTGGTGATAATTAATCACGAGAATTAGGGTCTTTCTTTTGTTAGATTTCTTGGTTCTTTTTGCGGAAATGGGAAGTGAGACTGTGTAAGGAGCAGAAAAATTGCAGGAGGTAGTAGAAACTGAGTGGCGTTTTTGATGAGTCGTGCTTGGTTAAGACTCTGAAGAGACGAGAGACGAGAGACGAGTGACGAGAGACGAGAGGTATATATTCTATTGTCCTCCTAAGTCTCAACCGGGTTTTTTGGTAGCTTGGTATCCACGTTACTGCGGCTTACCGTTGAATACTTTATTTCATTTATTGTGCCCTTGTATATATATATATTTCAAAATTTTCCTTCGTTTTTTTTAAGAGAAAAGAGTATTAACTGGATATTAACTCAAAAAGTATTCATTTAAATATTTAATTTGTACCTCATGATGTTTCTTCGTTACCAAACTGTAGTTAATTTGAATAATTTACAAATTCAATCGAAAAAAGACATTAAGAAAATTTATTATCCAAATATTATGTTACAATCAATTTTAAAATTTTATTTTTATATATTTAAAAAATCTAATAATTTGATTGCAATTACCCTATTGATATTTTATCCATGTCAATTAAGGATTAAGTAATCAATTTCCAAAATTTTATAATCTTTATTAGTCAATTGACCTCTTGTTTCTAGTTTATATGTACATTTATTTTAGCAAGCACAGTGACAGCTTAATTATATTTGTTTATATTTTTTTCTATTTATGCTTTGCTCTCAATAAAAAGCACTCTTGATATTTTTCCTTCTTTCTCGTATCCAATCAATTAATCCTTAGATGTATAAGAAATTTTATATAGGATTTATAATTTGATTCATTATAGCATATTTGCTTCACGAATGGAGTAAAAGGAAATGAAATAAATATTATGTGATAATAAATTAAGATAGAAAAAAAATAAAAATATTTATTAGGATAAATTTCACATAAACTCTTTATAGTATGATATTTTCTCATATATCATTCTGAGGTTATTTTTTTTTACATAAAACATTGTGTTTTATTTTATTTTTCTAAGAGTTAATGGTGTTGAATTTTCAATTAATTTTTTTTACAAAGACAATAAGGACTTTTCTTTTATAATTTTTTTATTTTTGTTTGTTTAATCTAAAAAAAAAAAGATTTGAGTGTTTTTTGGTTTCTTTTATGACTTATATCTCACTTTCTCTTCTCATTTAATTTTTTTTTAGGTCGTTGCGTGTATATGAATCTAGGTGTTTTTTTTTATTTGTAGCCGTAATTTTTAGTCTATATCTAATGCCCTATAGAAAACTGTTTAATGTTTGTGTGAAGCTTGTAACTTTCTGAACTTTTAGCCCCAATTATGGTCTAAAATACAAACAGTTTGCTTTAATGCCAGATTTTTTGTAAAATAGCTGTGCAAATTTGGTGATAGTACGAGCACTACTGCAAATATGCTCACAAAAAAAAATATTCTTACGAGGCATGTTACATAAGAGCAGCTCTAGGAACAATTTTCTCCTCATTGTAATGCTTTGTGTATGCCTTAAAAGAGAGCCTTTCAGCTCTTTACATCATATAACAGCAGTTGGGCTCAAAGTTTGATTTTAACAATAACAAATTGACAATTAAATAGACTCTTTTGAACTTGGATATTAAGCAAGAATTAGTCTATTATTCTATCTATGCCTCCGTAGCTGATTAAGAAAGGTTTTTCTTCTGTGATAGCACCAGTAATCACACTACTAGGAGCATCTATAGGCAAAATGTAAACACTGCTCTCGGTTCACTTGCTGCAAATGCTTCTCTAATTGATTTCTATATTAATACACATGCAACGACCCAAAAGTAAAAGAAAAAAAAAATTGGGTGAGGAGAGAAAATGAGATAAAAGTCATAAAATGAAAAAAATAAAATTTTTTTCTTTAATTAAACAAATAAAGAATAAAAGGATAATAAAAGAAAGGTTTTTATTATCGTTTTACAAAAAAAATAAATGAAATTTAATACTATTACTCATTTTAGAAATAAAAGTAAAATACAAGATTTTGTATAGAGAAGAAATAACCTCAAGGTGTTATATAAGAAAATTTCTTACCATAAGAGGTGTATATGAAGTTTACCTTATTTATTATGTAGTTTGATTCATGAATAAATAGGATAAGAATTGTTATTATGATCCATTCCAAAATAAAAATAATTTTAGAACATAAAAAATAATAAAAAGACAAAAATATCTATTTTTTTCTTACTAGGACTATAATATATGTTTTTTAAGTTAAAATATTTATTTGTATAATTTATTAAAAATATTAATAAATTTTTATTTAAAATTTTAATATGATTATATATTTTTATTTTATTTTTTAAAATATTAATAATTTATAAATAGCATTTTAATTTAATTTTTAAATTAAAAATATTAATTTAATATAATTTATTACTAAAATTTAATTTTTTTTTTCTTGATTGGTCAGTCACTGAAGATGTGGTCGATGTAATAAAACGTCAATCTGACACTTTCACAATCAATTCTAACATACTTCCTCTATGGATCTGATTGTGAAAGTAGTACCACCTCACCTTCCTTTAATGGTGAAGGATATTTAGAAAGAGAAAGGCAGATTAAGGAAAGAGAAAAGAAGAAAGGGAAAATGAGGTCAATTAAACTTTCTTAAAATGAGTAGGAGTATTTTTATTTAAAACTTTTTGGACTTTATTTCATATGAGGCAAGATATTTAATAGTAAAGAGGACGATAATACCTATTTTGTGATGTTAAGTAATAACCATTCTTAAGAATGACTATTTCATATTATAAAAACAAACTAAACAGAAGAATTATAGCTAGACACTCAGGAATAGAGGGGAAATATGACTTATTAGCCATTCCCTTAAAGCAGGCGAGTAAGATTCCTTATATCGTCAATTCCTTTCTCTATGTAAGATATACTTTTAATTAGTAATGTTATTTCTTTTGTACTTTGAAATTTCCTCACATTAATAGTTAGAAATTTACAATGGACCTAATCTATATTTCGTTAACTTGGTGTAGAGGGATTCTTTTATTTTATAAGCCCAATACAATAGATCGTAGAATAAGAAACGATGATATGGTTTTAGTAGCCCATATATATATTGCTATGGTAGGATAAAAAATGATGGATTTTACACATTAACTATTAATTTTAAAAATAAACGGCTGACAAGAAAACAAATCAAGAGTAGTAATACTTTAATGCTATGTGAAATTTGTTTAAATAAGGTAATGAAATTATTGAAATTTTCTTTTGATATTATTTTTAAATATATTAATAATTATATAGTTTTCAAAATTTTAAAAGCTATTGTTTGAGAGCCAAATAGTTAATAAGTAACAATTATGTTCTTTTTTAAATGAATTAATGAGATTGGAAGTAATTCAAATTTTTCCCTTGCGTGTCAGAAAAAAAAAAGGCTTCCATTTAATGTAATATTTTAATATCATAAAGAAAATATATAAAAGAAAATTTTGGTGATCTTTCAAGAATAATATTATTAATTAAAGCATCAAAACAGACTCGTATTATTTATTCATAAAAGGCAAAAATATTGGATATTTAAAGGAAAGTGAATGTAATTATTTTAATAAAAATAAATTATACTTCAAATTAAAAATGTATCAAGCAAATTGCAAGCATATTAATTAGAGAAGACATTGTTTTAATTTAGGCTATCCACATGTCGAAGAAGTTGGGCATCCAATTAGGACAACTTTCCTTTTTTACCTAAAATTTTGTTTTTTTTTATATATATTTATATTAGATTATAAGAAATTTCAGATTGATAGTGTAAAACAATTAAGTGAGTTAATGTGGGATGGTGATTCTTCTTTATTAGACAGTGCTTCAATAGAAATATACATCTGATTCGGCATATAGTATCATGTATATAATTTTATGCATGTTTTGTTTTGTATAGAATTAAATTGTGCATTTAACACAAACTTTATTCATGAAATGACAAGTTTACAATATCTAACTCATATTAACCTTGTCCAGGCTACGCAGTACAGAGAAACTTCTGATGAGCTTCAATGCTGCGCCAATATCTAGCAAAATACTAATATTACATATACCGAAGGACGAAACTGGACCAAGAAGCTAAGTACTGAAGCAGTAGCTTCTATTTTATTCACTCGGTACCAGGCAATGACATTATTTGATACATCAATACGTATGATCAGCAGGCTGACTAGCTAGCAGTAGTTTATGTTCGATCTGGTTTAGCAACTGCAGGGATATAACCATGCCCCCAAGGATCATCCCTATTCTGAGGTTTATAAATGAGCTCCCTTGCAGCTTTCTCATCTGTAAGATCAGCAAGATGATTAAAAATTAACCTTGTAGAATTCTATATATGATTTAGAGGTTTTCCTGTTTATGTCATAGGTAGCATGAATTAATGAGCATGCTTTTGGGTTGATTAATACAAATATATAAAGAAAAACTAGCTGATTCATGCGTGTGAGCACAATTACTTAAACATTTTATACTCTTCAAGTCTCCATCTAGTTAGGACGAGTAACGAACTAAAGAAAAAGGCTAGCATATATGCTTACAAGTCTTGGCAGTCCTTTCCACGTTCCTTGTCGCCATGGCTGAGGCTAGTAGGAGAAAAATAACCAAGAGAACCTGGAAGAGAAATAAAAGCTTCTTAGGAGCCATTTTCTTGATAAAGGGGGAATGTTCGTACCGCAGTAAATATATACAGGCCTACCCAATGCCGACCAAGTTTCCTCTCATTCTCCTACCAAATTTAGGGGGCCTGCATACAAGAAGACTCGGATAGCTAATTAAATAAGACAATTTACAAGTCCAAATTGTTCTTTTTAGGTGACTTTCAAGGCCTTTTTCTGGTTTAGGTTATAATCATGATCATCAACTTGCTCCCTACTCCCTTTTTTTCGTATATTTGGCATCTATTATTCAAGAGGGTTTATGTTATTATCTACAAGTTCCAAAAAGAAAAAATCAAAAAGAGCAGATATATATATATATATATATATATATCTAATGATTTTAAGTGGTGTAATTTTATTTTTTTTTGTGAAATGAAGATAATAATAGTTAACCTTTTACTTCTCAAAGATTCTTGCGAAGTGCACAGGTTGTAATGGATCTTCAAAATAAACAATTGAGTTAATACTCTACTTGCTCAAATTACAAGCATTTCCTAATATACATGGTTACAATCCTCAAGTTGTTGTAATCAAATTCCATGGGGTTCTCGAGCTCTTTTCTGACTTGGAAGACAACCCTTCATCACGTACGATATGTGGACATAACTGAACCCATGTTTGCAATGAGATTCCCTCGTGAGATTGGAGATAACACTGTCACATTGCCACTGGACTGATTTCGTCCCAAATAAGATGACAATTAATCAACATCTGCCACTGGCTAGCTAGTTGCAAAAGTCAGTGGGAGACTGGGAGCCATGATACTCTGGTCCACTACATCAGCTTAAATTGCTGACTTTTGCTCCCTCGTTGACAAAAATCAGAAATCAAGGCCACGAACTCACTGCAGATGGTCAAACAAGTTGAACTTTTGGCAAAGTTGCCAAATTCACATAATCCAAATTTAGCAGGTCACCATGGTTTGGGCAACTTCCGCAAAAGTCACTCTGCACCCCACAAAATAGAATACGTCTATAAATGTGGGATCCAATCGAACCTCCCAATCTCTCCAGAAGATAGCAAAGCTTAGCTTGCAAAACCTTACCGACAAAAATGAAATTCCAACAGGAAGTCAGAGCCTCACAGCTACGCGAAATGGTAGATAATTAAATAGCATGTTTTAAAAATAGTTTTTACAAAATAAGATATTTTTTAAAATAAGTTTTTTATAATTTTAATTGCTCCTAATTAAGAGAGAAAATTTTTTAACAAAAATTGTTTTTATTGAAACTTCTTCATATTTAAGTACACGTGAAAAGAAATTATTAAATATTATATTAAAAAAAAGATTATTACTCGTTATATTGAAAAAATTTTATTGTTATATGTTATTTTGAAAAAAAAAATCATATTGTTACATGTCATATTTAAAAAAATTTTGCTACACATGATGTTAAAATTTTTTTTGTTATATACTGTGTTAAAAAAATTATTATTGTTACACGTCATATTTAAAAAAATTTTGCTACACATCATTTTGAAAAAAAAAATTATTATATGCGATACCATGTTCAATATATTTGTTACACACCAAGTGCATTAGAATTGTTACATGCAAACATAGCATTTAACGATACATGTAACAAGTTTGGGTAGTATTCTAATTTATAGATTTCATTTATAATTTCAATCTATCAATTCTAAAGTTTTGTGAATATAAACCAATAAACTCAAAAAATATATATTGATATCATTTTTAGATTTGTAAATCGATGATAATATGACAAAATAATGAGAGATAGACGGAGATGACAATGGTGGTACAATTAGAAAGAAATAAATGGTGAGAGAGACAGACAAAATTTAATTTGCTTGGATGGTGAGAGAGAAATTGACAGCATTTAATTTTTCTAAAATGATTTAAAAAATATTTTTATCAAGTGACAAAAGTTGATAAAAATAATTAACTTTATATTAAAGTTATTTTTTAAATGAGTTTATGAAATTGGTTATTTTTTACAATTTTTTCTAATTAAATCAACCAAGAAGAAACTAAGGCTATAATTGAGAAGAACAAATTAATTTTGCCTAATGAACCAAGTTTGATTTGCATGGGACTCTAGTTTCCTTACAGCTATACATGGGACTAAGCCATGGAAACTTATAGAAGCCAAATAACCTTGCAGTTACAGAGGACGGAGTTATGTACACTTGCAGACGTCTCTATCCGTCCCAACTAAAGCATATTAACGTTCTCATCTATGGAATTTGAACTTTTTATTCTACGAAAACCGCGTTACATTTACAAGTTACAATTTAATCCATAAATAACAAAATATATTATTAAGGAATCACTCTCATAATTAGCATTTAAAATTATTTGAAAGTTTTTAATTCAAATTTTGAGAAGAACGACTACCTTAAAAAGAATGAAAGAGAATGATTTTTTATTGTATAATCTAAAATTATATATAAAAATACAAGTGACGATTTAATAAACAATGTAAGTAGATATAATATATTTTAAATTTTAATCCATAAAAAAATCGGGTTTGAGCCCATAAATCGAGCATTTTCTAGTTACATCAAGAACGCCGAAGAAACAAAATAGCTTTGGTTCAACAGCGGAAGGGATCATTGGTTTAAACTTTATAAAAGAATATTGTCTTTATGTTTGCTTTATTTAATTTTGAAATAAAACTCATTGATTGGTTTCAATTTTGAAGATTTAAGGACTGCCGAGGTGCAAGTGCGACTTTGTTTACTCTTGCTCCGCCTCATGCATGGCTCAAAATATGTGAGGGTTCTCTTTTATTGATTGATACATACATTTTTATTAATTTGAAAATAGTTTTGATCAACTGATATAACATGAAAAGATAGTCATTTCATTAATTAGTATTTCCTTATCAGACACGTTATAATATATAACGTCAAGTAAAAAAATTGCTAAAATTAATCAGAACGTGATAACAATTGAGACACTAAAATTATATAAATGAATGATACTAGTAATAAGAGAGAGAGAGAGAAAAAAAAGGGGTCTTATAAACAGACTGCTGCTACATCATATCACTAGTAATCTGCTTTTATTCATATATATATATAGAGAGAGTGGCATGTTTACAACATTGAACACATGAGAAGCCATGAAAAGCATCCATGTTTTCCATATAACTTCTGATCTAAATCTTGAAGCCTGCAGTCTTTGATAAGCTTCCAGGAATGCATATGTTGAGAGGCCTCAAGGCTCAAGCATTGAACCACAGGAACAGTCATACGATACTGACTTACACAATTTTAATTTCATAACACAACATATAATTAACCATAACATGTTCTTACATTTAGAAGCGTTTACATGCAACCCGTTATTTTTTTTTATAATTGTGTCCTATAGGATCATCCTTACTATGTATTGGAGGAGGACTTGGAGATTGAAAATTGTTTTGTCGAGGAAGATCCTCTTTTTGAGGTTCAGGAATGAGTTCCCTACCCTTTTCATCATCTGTAAGAACAAAAAGTAGCTGAATGAATAAGTAGTTCAAGTTTTCGAAGCAAAAGACCAAGAGGACAGGTAGGCTTACAAGATGAATGAAGCTTGGAAGACCTTCTGACGACATCCATCGATGCCATTGCTGAAGATAGGAGGAGCATTACAATCAACAGAACCTCCCCTTGTAATAAGCACCTCTTGGAAGCCATTTTGCATGATTCACGCATACATCACTATATATATGCCTAATTACCTAGTAGTTTCCCTTCATTTTCTTTGCAGTTATTTGGAGGTCTTTTTTGATGAGGGGACTTTGAGAGCAAAAGTCAGCAACTATTGGAAGACTTTTGCTCCACCAGAGGTGACGTATAAAGACTTTCGCATCAATATGTGACCAATTGATCGTAACTGTTTAAAAAGAATAATCAATACATGTTAGTGATGATAACAAACTACTTCAAATTAAGAACATCACCTTTTGTCTTTTCCTTTTAGATAAATGAGCTATCCAAGAAAAACTGGGAAAAAGAATACTGTACAGCAACAAACAAACAGAATTGAACTATACAATCAATGAGCCTAAACTTCATAATGTAAGAGGGGATTATCAGTAAGCCTCACCTGTATTTGATACACTGATGGCAGAAAAAGTGTTATGAACTGTGAGGATGACCTGATGCAGTCAAAGGACAACCCTCTCCCTTAATGATCATAGTCAAAATTATACGCATCTAAGATTTTGTAACTCTAAAAAAGAAATAAAAAAAGATAAACCAACGGTTTCCCTTTAACCTTTATTTTAGCTTAGTATTTGTTCTGATGCCTTAGAGTCAGACATATGATTTCATTAATTATGGTGGCTGTCGAGCATAATGGGATAATTAAAGGGAGGTAAAAGGGTTGTCAAACAACCAGAACCAATGTTAATTTCTCCCTGCCGCAAAATGAAATATGGGATGAAGCGTCATGTGCAAGACAACTCAGTAGAAAGCCTCACTCTGTCAGTTTGTTTATCCTAGTTGAAGATAGTTGCAAGACACTAATATTTCAAGTTGCTTTGCTCCGCCATTGCCACTCTCAGAAGCAATTTCTGACGTTGAAAATAGTGTGAAGGAGGCGAGGAGGTCTCCGCATAGGAGACAGAGCTACAGAAGGGAAATAATTCTTCATTATTACTGGGGGATCGCGTCCCACCTTTTCTCAACACAATCAAACAGCAGGGGATGAGAACAAAGGATTTTCTGCTTCCTTTGTCATCTTTTTTTCCTTTTTCCTCCTCTCCTATCTATGGGATTAGAAATACAGCAAATAGTCCGACCCTTTCGAAGTAAATAACCCAGGTGCCAAACAATAATGTTAAATACTTGACACAATCAAGGATTTGAATGTAACACTTTGAGGGCAACAAAAAATAGCAAGATGGGCCAAGTTAAAAGCCAAAATATTTTTTTACTGCTGCCATTGACTTGGGAAGCAAGAGTGCAAATAATAAAAAATAATAATAAAGCCAAACATGAGGAACTGTTATTCACTTGTTTGTAGCTTAGATACATGCAGTGGAATTCCAATCTCTATTACAAACAGCCTGCTTCAAGCTGCTGAGACACACTACGCATGGTTGGTCGAGATCGGGGATAGGCATGTGAACATAAGATAGCGAGGTTTAACATGAACGATAATTCATCTTCATCTTTTTGGCCTATAGGAGGAGAGAGACGAGGATCTAAGACATCTGCCAAGCCGATTCTTGGATCAGAGAATGAATGTAAATAGGATATAAGTTCCCCAGGATGCTTTCCCATCAGAACTTCAAGTGCCAAAACACCAAAGCTGTATACATCGCATTTTTCGGTGACTGCCATAGAGTAAGCAAGCTCTGCAGCAACAAACATTCTTTGAATGAGGATGGGAATTTCCAATTATATTTTGCATTGAAGACAGATTTAGTAAATAAAACAAGATTCATCAATAGGCATAGAAAATGATCCTCTATGTTATATCGATGCTGCTGCTAAGGCCTGCTTGCAGTTTCCTTTCAAACCAAAACACAATGAACAAGAGTTTCTCCTTAATTTTAAGAACAGTTCCTTGCCACATAAATATGACACTAAAAATTATTAGAAAACATACTGCTATTATGAGCATGGAAGTTTTAAAAATTGGTTTCTCCAAATCAGTAGAGATTAAGTGTATATGGCTCAGAATTCCTAGATAATCAATACTCAAATTCAGAGAGACTAAAAGAGAAAGGAAGAGTGCATGCAGGTTACCTGGAGCAACATAGCCATAAGTTCCTGCAACTGCTGTCCAGTTGGATGAATCATGAGTCAACAACCTTGCAGTGCCAAAATCTGATACACAGGCCTCAAATTCAGAGCTCAGTAAGACATTCTTGCTTGATATGTCTCGATGAATTATTGGTGGAACACAATCATGATGCATATAAGATAGAGCATGAGCTACCCCTTTAATAACTCGAATCCTTTTCGTCCAATCTAATTCCTTTGCTCCGACATCATTGCTCAAGATCTTAGCCAAGCTTCCCCTTTCCATAAACTCGTACACCAAAAAATATTGTCTTTTGCCAGAACAAAATCCATAGAGCTTTACGATGTTTCGATGCCTTATCTCTGTCAGAGCTGCAACCTCATTCTTGAAACTTTTCACCTCCTCAATCTCCATCTCATCATGGGAACTCAACTTCTTAACAGCAAATACTTGACCATCTGGCATTTCTGCTCTATAAACTTTTCCAAATCCTCCCACTCCAATGCAGCAAGTCTCATCAAAGTTCTTTGTAGCTTCAAGAATGTCTTTGTACATTAATTTCCCATTAAAATGCCCTATTAAGAAAAAATTTTCCCGCTTTTCGCTGCCCTCAATTTTGGACTGATTTACTGATCTCCGATGGAGAAATGCTAAAATCCATACACAAACCATTAAAAAGATTGATATACTTGCCAAAGAAGCAACAACAATAACAACAACCTTGTGTTTATCATTTCCACTGTTCTTCTCTGTAGATGTGGGACTGCAAGGTTTTAAACCTTCTCTCTCACCGCATAGATCTTTGTTGTTGCTAAAAGCCTCCGGTTGAGCTGACCGAAAAATGTTGCTGTTGGGAAGAGGACCCTCCAAGTTGTTGTGTGAGAGATTAACAGCCACCAAGCTCCTCAAGTTGCTCAGTGAAGAAGGAATTTTACCAGTGAGATTGTTGTGGGAGAGGTTTAAGTTTTCCAAACTTGTAAGCTTCCCAAGTTGTGAGGGTATCTCTCCAGAGAGTGAGTTATAACTGAAATCTAGTATATCTTGTAAGGCTACAAGATTACCAATTTGATATGGAATTGTTCCATTCAAGTGGTTTTCGTTCAAACGTAAATTCTGCAGCTTGGAGCAATCCCCCAACTGATATGGAATGGGCCCTCTGAGCATATTCGCCGAGAGGTCTAGAGACTGTAAATTTGGCAGTCCTCCAATTCCTGCAGGTATCGGACCTGAAAGCTTGTTATCTTTCAGGCTTAAGGACAACAATTTCGATAATTTTCCAACTTGTGCAGGAATGATTCCTGAAATTTGGTTGGAAGAAAGGTCAAGCCCCATTAATTGGTTCAACTGAGTAATCTCATCTGGGATCTTTCCACCTATCATATTTCCGGCAGCTTTCAGCAGTGTCAAGTTCAGACATTCTCCCCAATTTGGCGAGAGTTCACCACTCAGTTTGTTGTAACTTAAGTCAATATATGTGAGATTCGGGTACACACCAAAATCTTGGGCTATGTTTCCCGTAAGTTGATTATATTCGAGCCGAACTCTATACAAGGTCTTGCAATTCTTCAGGCTTTTTGGGATAGGACCGGAGAAATTGTTGAAGGATGCACTGAAATTGACAAGCTTCCCACCTCCGCAAACTTCTGGCGGCAAGTTACCACTGAAGTTGTTCTCAGCCAGATGGAGAACTACTAATGAGGAAATATTTCCCAACTCTTCCGGTACGAAACCAGATAAGTGGTTTATGTGCAAATAGAGAACAGTTAACTTGCTTAAAGTTCCAAAACTAACAGGAATGCTACCTGAAAGTTGAAGGCCGGAAAGCCGTAGAACAGTTAAACTGCTCAAATTACCCAAAGATGGAGGGATAGGCCCATAGAAATGACTCCCATCCAAAGCTAGTAAAGACAGATGCTGCAAATTCCCTATCTCATCAGGAATTCTGCCACTAAGCAGAGTATCTTGAAGGAGAAAACGTTTGAGACTAATGAGGCCAGTTTTTGATCGACTAGTTCCATCCGGAAATAAACGCGGGTCTAGTTCGCCCGTTATGTTGTTTCGTGAAATGTCAAGCTCGTAAACTTGAGTGAGATTGGCAAGAGAGACCGGAAGCTCGCTGTTTAAAGAATTTGTGGAAAGATCAAGGAACTGGAGTTTTGAAAGTAAGCCAATGTTGGACGGTATTTTACCGGAGAGCTGGTTTACCTTGAGATCAAGCCGAAGGAGGTTTGGGAAGGACGAAAAATCCAAGTTGTCAACGGTACCCTTCAAACCTGTGTATGCTAGATTTATTTCAATGACATTTCCTGCATTATTGCAGGTTATTCCACGCCATCTGCATGGACTTTGAGTAGAAGCATTGGCAGGAGCTGGAGTGACCCATGACTGTAGAATAGATTGATTACCGAGACTTTCTTTCCATTTGAGAAGGGCCTTAGCTTCTCTATTTGGCACTGAAATGGCATTGCAGGGCAATGCCAACAAAGCTATGAAGAGAGTAAGAGATAGATACTTTTCTTGGTAATTAGCCATAGTTCACGAGGTCTTTTTTTTCTCTGGTGCTGCTACTCAATGGCATGATTTGCTTATGGCTTATAAGTGGATTAACATTTCAACTCTTGGCTTCTTACTAACCTTTCACGTTAACAAGATTTTGTTCCGATGCGTATATCTTCTTCAAGGTAATGCCCATAGGGATTGACAACTGAAGATGGAAAGTGGGAACCGGAGCAGCCAAAGTTGAAAATCCCGCCCAGTTGAAGAAAGGCCAAAAAACAAATGGATGAAAAAAGAAGGAAGGGTATTGGTTGCTTTCGAATGGACATCTTCTGTCCCGAATTTGTGCCCTGCTCTCTGCCCCGCATATTAGATTTTGCCACGTTGCATGATTAACGTTGAAGTCAACTTTCCCTTAGAAAAATTCTCCCAACTCAATA